AGAACTATTTGTCTTACATAATGCTTCGGTATAGAATAAAATTTCCTACAGTTACGCCACTGTTATTGGATAACTTTTGAAGTTGTATAATTTTCTCCTTTCCTGTTTGTCTATCAGTCTGGTACATCTTTTCACTGTTCATTTACCTGCCAGTTTTGTTTGCGCCTGAATCTGTTAAATCCCAGTCCAATTCAACATAGGTTATTTTAAATTTCTTTAGGTGTTGAAGTTATAGGTACGTTCCAGATTAACTAGAAGTTAAACGTTAAAAACTCCCGAAATTGTCAAAAATTTTTGTTGATTGAGTGTTCGATTGTTATTTGTTTAAAGTTCAGTGGCAGACATCTTATGCATATTCAGGAGGAGAACAAATTAACAGTAAATCTAATATACATGTATCTAAAAGGTTAGTCATACGGGATGAGGAGCGGGAAGTTTGGACTGCAATTGGAAAATGAAAATATGTTGCATGACTTAAACTTGCTGGGAAAACTCGGATAATCTATCGCCCGATTCATTGGTAGGAAAGTTTATGTTGACCTGTCTTGTCCACATTACTTTACGAATGATACAATGTATTGACGTTTATCGTGACATTCTTCGGCGATATTAGACTTGTCATTGAGTGTATGATACAGACAAATGTTTGTCGGCCCTGAACTTTATAGCACATTTATATTATTTCAAATGAAAAAGATTTAGCATGACTTGTTACTGGTACTATCAGTATTCACTAATTCCATTTCACAGAATTTTCACAATTCTTAAATTGGCATTTTGCTAGAAATATGATCAAGCCTTGGATGATTTAGAAGGCATTTTTACATGTCAACGCATCATTAAGTTAAAGTGAAAATAATGAACTAAACTGTTCAATATATATTTATTTTATTCACCTAAACCATGCAAATTATGTTACTTTAAATTTTGCCTCAAGCACGAATGCCTTTGTCCTAATTAATTTGGAAAATATGAAAGTTTTCATTGTTTATTAAGTTATCCATGTACTGGACAATTGACTTATCAACTTTTAAAGTATTCCATGATGAGTATTTCAAAATGTTATATTGTTATTCATGATTCCAATACATAGTATAGCAAATCCATGCAATAAGGAAAAAAAAAACGTCCGTTTAAACGGTTAACGTTTTTTGTTTATGATATACGGTCCTTCCTATGGTACCAACACTAATTTTTCACAATACTTGTTATTTTAGATGACACTTTCAGTCTATGAAAAGAGAATGACAACAACAAGAATTTAGATATATACTGGCTTGCTAGGGGGAAACTTCTGCAAATGCCTCATAGGAACAAATGACGTGACTGGCATAGTTTGGACTTCGCACAGACACTTAACACATGAATATTGTGGAATAAATTAAATTTTAGGGCGCCCCACACCTCCATGTATGACATTAGTTTCAACTCCATCAATCTGTCTGCATAGTAAAATTCAAAACACATCGTAAGCTAAAAGACATATACTTTTGAACTTTATTTTCAGTCAAAACAAGTCATGATTAAGTACACTTAGTTGAGACACGGTAAGACGCATTAAGATAAAAAAAAAAAGTTGGAATGAAATTAAAAAGAATCGAAATACTGGAGTCAATTTATGTCCGAGACGTGAAATTAAGAGTGCTTTTGTTACGTGCAGAGAGCCTCGAGTCCTCTTTCGTCTGTCTTGGAGTTAACATCCCCAATCAGACTGACCACAACTGTACCCCTGTTTTGCCTAAATAACAAAACGGGCGCCTCCATTGGCAATAGTTATAGTTGTTTATCAAACAAATAATGTTTGACCTGTATAATTGAAATCTTAAAGTTTGTTTATATTCATAAACAAAAAAAAACATAGTAAAAGTAGAATACTGGATTGTGAGAACTTTTTGTCTTACATAATGCTTCGGAATAGAATAAAATATTCTACAGTTACGCCACTGTTATTGGATAACTTTTGAAGTTGTATAATTTTCTCCTTTCCTGTTTGTCTGTCAGTCTGGTACATCTTTTCACTGCACATTTACCTGCCAGTTTTGTTTGCGCCTGAATCTGTTAAATCCCAGTCCAATTCAACATAGGTTATTTTAAATTTCTTTAGGTGTTGAAGTTATAGGTACGTTCCAGATTAACTAGAAGTTAAACGTTAAAAACTCCCGAAATTGTCAAAAATTTTTGTTGATTGAGTTTTCGATTGTTATTTGTTTAAAGTTCAGTGGCAGACATCTTATGCATATACAGGACGAGAACAAATTAACAGTAAATCTAATATACATGTATCTAAAAGGTGAGTCATACGGGATGAGGAGCGGGAAGTTTGGACTGCAATTGGAAAATGAAAATATGTTGCATGACTTAAACCTGCCGGGAAAATGACATCAGATTTATGACCCACTTGTTTATTGGAGGACTATTGAAATCAACTCTCTCTTAATTTTCTGACATTTCAGATAACTTAAAATGTTATAGTAACAATTTTAAAGACTTGATCAGTTATGAAAGAAAACTAAGTAACCTTGAAAATCTAAAGACGATCATTTGGCCTATTTCTAATCTCTTGCTGGGAAGCCCCTTATTAGTTCTTTTACTTACATTTCACAATTAAACAAGATGATATATGTTTTGTCACATGACATGACGTAATTCCTGAAACAAATGTGTGTCCTGAAATACATGACATCATGAGTATTAACAACTGTGCCTTGCAACTCATATCAAGTATAATACACTTACACACTTCAGATAAAGATAATGCAATTGCAATGTATTCTTAGAAAATAGGGTCTTGATGTTCCTATCTCATTTTTGTCGTCCTTTAATATTGGACATTGATATATAGATTTCTAGGTCATCGTACGGTTTTCATCATAGAGCAAACCAATAGTATTTCAAACTAATAAAGGCCAAGGGATAACAAAATATGAAACCCTTTAAACGAGAAAACAAACTACCTGATTTATTTGTAAAAATAATGATATAAATTGAAATAAATGATGCATCTTAACTGATGTACATTGTATAGACCTATTACTAGTACACTTTTTAAGATATAAAGGGGGAGGGGGTTAAATACAAAACCAATGCATGTTAATATGCATGTCTGGTCTTCAGAAATACCTAATTTATTTTTGTCATTTAAACATTTTGCTGTTACTGGGATATGTCTTTTGTTGCCTATATTAAATTGACTAACAAATTGTCTACACCCGAGGCGACGTTGACTTTAACATATGGGATAAACGTTTTTATTGTTGAAGATCACATGATGACAACTATTTGTGTTTGCTGGTTATTTTTGTTGTTATGTTGCTGTCTCAATAAAGTGTATCCCGTTTCTTCTAGTATTCATAATACTGCGAACGCTAACTACACTTGTAAAATGAAAATAATGATTTTTGATATACATGTTGATGAAGAACTCGAAAATATTCCAATGTCTTGCTTTACCTTTCGTCAACCTCTAAAATATATAATCATTTTAAAAGTAGGCCACGTTTGCTTATCAAGGAAGTATAAGTGTGCCGTATCTGAGTGTACTTTAATTAAGATTAATTCTGTCTTTGCTCCGACATGCACAAAACGGTTTCTTAAACTAAACAACGTGCGCTTCTTCGTATGATACCCCCCTCCCAAAAAAAAAAAAAAAAAAAAAAAAAAAAAAAACAGAACTTGAAATTAATTGTACAAATTGTTTGAAATTTCAATTTTTTTACATTAAAGATAAGGAAATCCCAATTGTATCTAATCTGAAAATATAACAAACGTCTTATGTCTATAATTTCAGGAACACATGTCAGACAGACATACAATAAAAACTAGGAACTGACCTTCTAATTGCTTACTTTATACATACACTTTGATATCAGTTGTGACTGACGTATATCAATTGCAAAGAAACTAATTCATATAGCAGTCATTTACAGTTCCTTTTTATAGTATATAAAAGTCGTACATACTGATTAATTTAAAAGCAAAGCGTAACGTAATCTCGAACTTCATAAATGGTCATTACACATGATTTTGCGAAACGGTTTACGTGTATAATTCTTTTGAAACGTTTGTGAGTTACGTACACACATTCATGTATATAGTAAAGTCTTTATGAACAAGACGTCCATTTTAACAACTCAATTGGTTTTGTCGTTATTTGTTGACACCTATATGAACAGAAAAAGAAATAATAAAAGAGCATCCAAACCTGTCATCGGAAAATGAATAGGTACTGCGAGAATGGTCACAAAATGATACCATGATTTGCCAAGGAAAACCCAAGAATAATTTGCACCAGAAAACAAAATAGTAGATACACAATGTCAGTATATGGAAAAGATTTTAAAAAGAGGCAGAAGATACCAATTAGGCATTCGAAACTTATAAGTCGAAGGGAAACGGATAACAATAATACAGAACGCCAAGGTAAATTAGAATAGGAGGAAGTTCATAAAAACTGACAAAATCAACTTTTATCAACCACGGAACAAGTGAAAAACAAATGTCATATTCCTTACTTTGTTTCAGGCATTTTCCGAAGAAAACTGTGGGTAAAACCTGGTTTTATAGCTAGCTATATATAAGACCATGGCAATTATTAAACTATGATGATGTGTTAATGAGAAGCGTATACAAATGTGCACTATAGTGTGCAGATACGACGAAGTCCGTCTTCGTGTCAAAGTGAACCCCAAAAACCATTCCAATGAAGAAATGAAATAGAAGAAGCAAACGTTCATGATGTGAGTAAGTTTCTGTAAATATAATTAAAAATAAGTCAAGCGGTTAAGAAGTATTTGCGATTACAAAAGTGAAACAGTAGTACAGAAGAACGGACGGACAGACGGACGCTGTCCTCGATAACTATAAACCGCTGGTTTAGAAAGCAGGGGTATAACTGTTGTTATATTTTGCCTAACAGAAAATCGTACATGGAGAAAAATGTAAGAAGTGGAATATCGGCACATATGATCTGTATTCAAAAAAGAACATCAATATATACTTACCAAGACTTGCTGGGAGAACAGTTTGTTGTGTGTTGCAGGACAGTTGTGGAGGTTGATAAATTGTGCTCGGCCATATATTGAACATTACACTCTGAAATAAGTAAAAGATATCATTCAGTTGTGTGTTGATATTCCATCAATCATTTTATAAATGGAAAACAAAAACGAAACCATTTGAATACTTAAAATGTTTTAGCCACAATAAGCAAAACGACTGAAGGATGCACTTTGTAAATACAGCTGTTTCACAAGCCACGCCTCTTTTGGGAGATATATAGTATTCATAGATATGTTAATTTGTTAACGTACTGGTTCCCAGATATGAACTCTGTGTTTCATCTCATAGAGACATACCTAGAGAATGTTACCAGTATAGAAAAAAAAAATGGTAGCGCCTAAAATTTAATTCTTAGGAGGTCCAAAAGTGGTAGGGTAGTATAGAATTTTAGTATAAGTTTAAACTCTTAGAAGTTCAGGGCATACAAATGTTGAAAATATGCCGCACAGCCTTTTATTTTGACCTTTGAATAAAATAGTAGTGCATATCAACTTTCCATTCTGGGATATAATTTTTCACGAGACTTCCTAGTAAAAGTTGGACAGTTTTAGCCGCAAAGGGAGTTCCTATGGGGAATTGCATTGTCTATATTTACAGAATTGCAACCTGAAATCGACACTATACAATTCTTAACGTCACCATCACGAATTGGTTGACCCATAGGATGTGTCGGTGTCTCATTCCATTACCGACATGTTATCGTGCTCTTATATCTTTAGATAACAGTATAAACGTCTGATTTGTAATTTTAACGATTTTGTCCTATTCCAGATTGACAGTTGTCAGTTTATTTTTGACTTATGAGTTTGAATGTCCCTTTGAAAAAAACGCATCAAAATATACCAGGCTTATAAGTTAGTTCGCCGGACTCATTGTACGTCTACACAAGACTCATAAGTGGCACTCGAAACAAAACAGATGAAAGGCATACGCAATAACAAAGATTTAAATCATCAAAAAATTAAACAAAGCGGTTATAACAAGTCTTGCTATGGCAATCTGTGCTTTGGAGTGAAAAAAATCCTTAAGTTTCGAATGATTTAATCATTCTTTATACAGTACAGAAGATTACCGGCCAATAACATTACATCAAAGTTCCGGAATGCTGACTGCTGGACTGATAATACCCACTAGGACGAAACTTTCACTAGCAGTGGCATCGACTATGTTGTTGATAAATTGATAAAATTAAAATATACCAGGCTTATATATATGAGATTATTGAGTGGCGATCGACTAGAAACAGTTGAAAATCAATAACGAAGTTGAAGAGCATTGAAAACAAAAATCTTGCTAAGGCATCCTTGCCTTGTAGCGAAAAAAACTTTAGGTTTCGTATGATTTCAAAATATGTTGAACAATACAGTACATTACCGCATCAATGAAAATTTATGTCAGCACAGGAGCTCTGGCTACTGGTCTGGTGATATCCACGGGGACAAAACGTCCACCAACATTTGCATTGATCGACCCAGGGGTTGAAAAATATGATTATAGATACCAGGCTAATGATTTAGAACGACAGACGCGTTTCATCGACATCAGATTCATCAGTGGTGCACGAATAAAAATAGTTGGAAGGTCAAATCAATATCAAAGTTGAAGAGCATTGGAAACAGAATATTTAAAAACGTTGTTCTAAATTAGGCTAATGCCATTTTGCCTGCGGGCGTACAAACCTTGTGTTTCAAATGATTTTAAAATGATCTAAAAATTTAAAACCGGAAAACATATAACATATAAATTGATGGTAGGTATGGAAAATGAATGGTACTTTAATTGCCGAATATTTAACAGAAATATTCCGATGACGGAAATCAGGTATATAAAGTATGACTTTTATCAAGAATGCCAGAAATCTAGACTATAAATAGGTCAGTTAAGAGTTGTCATACTTGTTCATCGTGCATTGTGGTCAAAACTAGATAATTTAAATTAAAGTTCAAAGTTTGAGTACCTTTGAAAGTGGACAAGTAAAAAATACGAAATATACGTGTTATACAGTCTACATACGTGTGTATCCAAAACTGGTTTAATAATAAACTCTTACAGTATGCACACAAAATTCAATGCGCGACGATAGAGCGTGTCTGTTGCAATTATACATTGGACAACTGTCAAATATGCAAAGTTAACGGGTGCCACATATAGAGCAGGATCTACCTACCCTACCGGAGCACCTGAGATCACTCCTGGTTTTAGGTTGGCGTTTGTGTTGCTCAGTCTTTAATGTTCTAAGTAGTGTTTAGTGAACTGTTGTTTGACTTTTTGTCGTTTTCCGTGTTTTTTGGCGATGGCCTTGTATGTTTGTTTTCGACTTTGAATATCTCTTTGGTATCTTCACCTCTCTTTTAAAATCAGCAAAAATACAAAGTCAAAGCCAGGTTTTACCGCAAGTAGTGCTTGTACCTTTCAATTATATTGTTTTTACTTTTGCAGTCTTAAAAAGAATGTTGTGCATGCGATAGCTGTTAAAGGTTATCCCGAATTTGACATGTGTACGACGAAGAAAATTGTATGTGGTATTTGGAAGAAATATATGCTTTTCCTGCATGAAATATGTGTTACCTGTCATCTTGAATTGACACATCAACCACAAAGACTTATATAGTACCTTGTATGTAAAACTACAGTCCATTAACAGCTGCGAATATTCAATTTTTAACAAATGTTCAACTTTACTTAATGTAAAAATCTCTCGGACAAAGGTGACTTCGGTAAACTTTGACTTTTTTGTTTAAACCCATGCTTTTCAAATGATTTGAAAATATTGTGCAATCTAAACTTTTGTCTGAAATTTTGCAGATGGATTACTCAAACAGATTACCTTAGCTGTATTTGGCAAAACCTTCGGAATTTTGGGCCCTCAGTTCCCATCAACTTCGTACTTTCTTTGGCCTTTTTGACTTTTTTTATTCGAGGGTCACTGATGAGTGTTTTGTACACGAAACGCGCGTCTGGCGTACATACTTTTAAGCCTGGTATCTATAATGAATTTATTTGTCCTCTAAAGTACCCGAAGACTGGTATTCCGTTAGCGATTTTTGTATACACTGAATTGTAATCATACTGTAATCATACTGTAAAACATAAGAAGGAACCTTATAGATCGAAGTTCAACTATGCAAGTTATTTACTTTATTTCAGTCCATGTTAATGCTATCGTAAAAAAGTAAAAATGGGTATGCATTTAAGGGAGGGTAGACTGTTAAAATTGTAAAAAAAAAGAAACAAATAAATCCATTTAATTATAATAAGATATTCAATTCTAAAGATTTACAATATAATAATACAACTGGAAATACCAAAATCAGTCGTAATATAGGGGTATATTCAAAAATGGATTTCCTTTCTTTCTGGACTTACCCAATTCAATTTAAATAAATACTTCCTAGGTAGTAACGGTATCATTATTTTTGAATAATTGGGATTCTGTCCAGCTTAAGTGATATGTGTGTGTTTAGGATTTGAGTAAGCTTTAATTTATGATTCGAATTTTCAAGGTAAGCAATCTACCATTTTTTGCATTGCGTATGAATAGAATTAAATCAAATTTTAAATAACTTAGATCTACCACTTCATATAATTTCGTGTTTATAAACATGTTTATCCATATAGGTAATAGTAAAATGTTAAACAGTTTGGTAACAGGTCAAATGTTTTTACGGAATTTACAATTCAAGAGAAAAATATGCATAATCTTAAATTTTGATTTGTAAAAACTGTATTATTTGTCTATATTTGAGTTATTTCACTAACGTACTAAATTATACTAAGTGTGTATGACTGATTTATAATGGAAAACACAGATGCATTTTATCCTATTCAAACCATTTCAAAACTATCCGCATGAAATTTCAGTTAACATTGCTGTTATATAGACAACGTTAAATAACGCAATGCAATTGGTTAAAATATAATGATTGCTGATCAATAAGCTCCATGTGGCTTAGCTGACAAGCCAGAGTGCAACAACTGTCTGTTTAGCTATACCAATATAGGTAAACGATAATTGTATGAAAGATCTGTCTACAGTATTACAATATTATTTGTTCAACGCACAAATATGACAGGCAGTATGAAATTCTGTAGAAAACGTTTTTCAATAAACTTTAAAGCTAAAGTTTCTATTTTGTCAGACTCAATATAAACTTTCATGTACACATACATGAATAAAGTTGCTAACGTTAACGTCATTTGGTCTCTGGTGGAAAGTATTCTTATTGGAAATCATTCCACATCTTCTTATTTTCATATAAATAAAAGTTTGTTTTCTTTTCATTTCTAGAATGTTGGCAATTATTTTTTAACCAAAAGGTTTTTGATTATTATCATTTGTAAATATCAAATAATCAAATATTTATAAATATAAAATAAATAGATGAATACAAACTTAAATAAATAAATAAACAAATAAATATGAAAATAATAGAATAATAAGAATAATAAGATAATGTGGTGGAACAATTCTAAAACTTTATCGATTAGGACTTATTTTTTGAATAATTAACAGTGCTAATCAAAGCATTGTTTTTCAAGCAGATTTGATCTTCTATTCCATGTCGCTTTCTTAAAGTAGTGATATACAGTAAAATTTACATTATGCACAAAGAACACGCCACATTCACAGCCACGCCTAGATTAATAATTTGCTAAATGTCCAACGTTCATGCATATTCAGGACAAGTCATACTTTGATTGATAGATGGATCATTAATGTCCAGTTGATCATACATTAACCTGAATGCACAGCAGATTTGCAGTGTATATGACAACTTTAGGTTACACGATGAATTGCATTCGGTATTCTTTTCTAAATTTAAAAGTAACAACATGTAAATGTACATTACACTTACGTCCTATAGTGAAAAAAGAAGTATTACATTTCCCCGGCTTTAGGTTGGCCTTTCGTGTACCCAAGACACGAGAAGGAAGTCAACTGAGAGCGTTGTGATTGGATGTCAGGGTATAATATATTTTTTTTATTTATTGATGAATAACTGCAGTGTGTATATTAACAATATAAATTCTGA